TCGGCGCCCCCCCCGCCGCGGGCGAGCGGGGAAGGAGAGGCGATGTCCCAGTCCTGCCGGCGGGGAGGAGGCGATGGGGCTCTGCTCCACAGCCGCATCGCTGGGGAGGCACCAGCAGCGGAGCAGGATGCAGCATCTGCTGCAGGATATGACCATGCTGCCTGAGCCCTGCCTAGTGCTCGGGGTGAAGGCTGGAGAACTGGGGCCTCTTCCCTGCTTCCAGCTCCAGCGCCGATCAGGTGGGAAAGCAGGAGGAATTAACCGGAGACAAACTCCCCCGCAAGACGCCAAAAGCTCAGCTAAAGAGGTGCCCTGCAAATTGCTAACCGCCTGGGGTACCACAGCCACCATTCTACAGGCAGGGAAACAAAGGCAGAAAGATTAAGCCACAATCTCACTGAGCAGAGCTGAAACACCTATACATCAGCAGCCACTTCAGGGCCTGTTTACCATCCAGCTTCTCACTGAGTCGTTTTATTTTCCTGGAAATCTAAATTACTAATGGGACTTCATCAATTAAATGCCTCCAAGATCTTGAGATGAAAGGTGTATGATAGGAAGAAGGGCTTCATTATTGCTAGAAAGCAAGACGCTACTTTAGAGCGATTTAAAACCATAGGACGATGCAAATAGGGCTGAACCTGGGAAATACCCAGCTCGGCTCGAGGCAGAGTCTGGTGCATGGGGATCCTGCTGTCTCCAGGCAGGGAGCCCAGCCAACAAAAGCAACTCAGCGCCTCCAGTTTCACCCTCTGGCAGCTCCCGGCTCAACTTGCACAGTGGATGGGAACAAGCACCTTTGCCCTCATCCGAAAGCCACCCAACGCATTGCCCAGCCACCATGCGGCCACACAACCAAGAGACGTCTGCAGCCCAAGTCGCGCTCTGTCCTGGGAGCCTCGGGAACATGCCTGACCCGCGGCCCCATCCAGGACCCAGCAAGAGCCTCGCGGCCCGACCAGGCTCGGGGCCAGGCGGGCCCTCCGCGCCACACGACCCCGCTGTGCAATGAGCTGTGCGCATGAATGACATGATTTGCACGTGTTTGGAGCCGTGGTCCCGGCGCTTCTGCAGCCCTTTCCACACTCCAAGCAGGAGAACTGTGCTTTGGACCGGACTCCTCCGGTTTTAAGTCTGCTCTCAGCTTCTCCTTGCCTCCTCAACGCGTAAAGGCAGACAGAGGCTGAGCAAAGTGCCTGAGCCCAGCCAGGTCATGGGAGAGAGTTCAGGACTTCTACATCCCCATCTTGCGCTTGCAGGACAGGGATTTGCGGGGTTTAAAATGGCTCATGGATGGATTAGCAAAGCCTGCGATGGACTAGCATGTCCCTAAGAGCAGGATGTGCTGGAGCTGTATGGATACCGGAGTTTCAATGAGCGGAAATGTCAGGAGGTGAGCTTGCGGATGGATGGCGTGGAGGCTGCCAAGGCCTGCCATGCAGAAGCAGCCGGGGCAGCCCGGCGACGGCAGGGCGGCTGGGAGGCTTACTTGCATGTAGAGCTGAGCCCTAGGGGAAGAGTTCTCCACCATCCTGTTCACCATACTGATCAGAGTTTCACTCTCGCTCATCTGCGACAGACAGGGAAGGAAATTTCAGAGGTCAGCAGAGACACTGCTTCCACCTTGCCCCAGGCTCGTGGTGCGGCGTGCTCAGGTGAGGGAGGCTCCGTCCAAGACACCTCGGGCCACCGGACCGCAAGGTGCCACCTCCAAGAGGGGCTTGAGCCACGTGGGGATGGCTGCCCCATGCCACCACTGCTCCACTTTGTGCAGTCAAGAACGTCCTTGGCTGGTTGCCTTCCCTGAAAACTTGGGAGGTGGGGAAAAAAAACAGATAAAACCCAGCCAGCTCCAAGCTCGGCACCACACTGCGCACACAGACACAAGCTCGGCACAGAGACGCCCAC